GCCGTGCGCGCAGCAGGCGGCTGCGAGCAACACCAGCCGAGTCCATGAACCCCACCACCACGAGATTGTGCAGAAGTTGCTGCTCGGTTCAGCACTCGAGCACTTGAAGGTTGTTGTTGATGCTTTACTTCGGGAATCATAGGGCGAATGCAGCGGCCTAACTTTGCAGCCTGACTATTTACGACAGCTGCTGTTTGCAGCGCAGGTCATGAGGTGGCATGTGCTGTCCTGATCAGGTACTTCGAGAGTCGGCCTGCATGAACCTACAGAGAGCGCAAAACACCCCACCCCCCCCCCCCCCCCCCCCCCTCCCCGAGCTGCGAGACGCCCTGAAGAACGCCTTGACTGTTGCACGCGGCACGCGGTTCTCAAAGAGCCGAGGCTCTTGGGCCTCCGCTGCCCCCGCGAGCGCCGGCATCTGACCATCCGCGACGAGCGCCGTCGTGACGAGGTGGCCTCCCATGAGAACCCCCGCTAACCTTGAACGCCCTGAATCCTATAAGCAAAAAGCAGGAACAACAGCGTTTTGGGGTGGTCCAGGTTTCATACCTGCCATTTAAGCTACGTAGCTATGTTGATACATCCCATCTAGATGTTTCATGACCGGTCGCCGGTTCACACGACAGGCGTGCGGCATGCATCTTGCTTCACCTCCGGATGTTTGTTATATCTTTGAGTACGTAAAAGGCACATTGCCTTCTGGCAATGTATCCCGGATCCCCTTTCTCTGTATCTGCTTGTTCTTGTGGCTCAGTGGTGATGCAGTGTGACATAGTGTTGTGTTAGTGTTTGACGACTGGCATTCACTATGGCGCTTCTCAAGGTCCAAGGGATTATTCCCAGCAAAGCATCCCTAGATCCAAGAAGATCATGAGCTGAGGTGCTGGCTGCTTTGGCCACGGGCGCTGCTGGCCGCGTGATGATTTCTGGAGCCTTCTTTGCAAATCCGTAGCTTCACTTCTCGGCTGCGTAGCATGGCTCCATGCCACATTAGAAGCCTGAAGCAGACTCGCCCCTGAACCAACACAACTCTCCGAACTTAAAAGACCACTCGTTGTGCAGGCTTATGCAAGGCCCCAAACCCTAGCCCTGAAGCGAAACTGTCCTGAAGCCCCTGACGCGCTCCAATAGAAGGAAACGAGGCTCGGTTCCGTCGTGTCTAGGGGTCAAGGGTCTGAAAGGTTCAATTAATGTGTTGCGAATGGCCTAGAGTTCCCCATGTTGTCTTAAAAACTGAAGACCCATGTCATAGTGAGAACCTTCCGACCCAGTCCTTGCCTGCCTTGTGCGACTGCGAGAGCCGAAAATTCACGGACTTTTAGATGTCATGCCTCAAAGAAACATTTTGCAGATGAGGACACCTACCGACCACGCCGACCAGCATCTCTGGCTGGGAGCTGCAATCTTTGGGCAAGGAAAACCGGAGCCGCGAGCTCCAGAAGCTTCTGAAGAAAACCGCACCTCGGCAGCTTACTAAACGATATTCCTGTAGCTAAAGGGTTGTTCCTCAACCGTTGGCGCATGTTTCCCAAGAAGGCAACCCAAGGACGTCTATTCTTAGGGTACCAAAAGATCCCATAGCAGGTTTTAGAGCAATAAGCTACCTACCAAGAAACCAAAAAGTAGGTTGCGTTTAAGAATTAAAGTTGTGGTGGCTTTTACTGCTTGCTTTTTGAAAGCTTGCGAAAATGCATTCCAGGACCAGTTTCCCATCGAGGCTGTGCTCGAGGGCGATGGGGGCGACCTGGGGCGTCTCAAGTCCTGCCTGAAGGGGTGGCTGCTTGCATGACCTAAACCCGAAACCGCGAAAACCCTAAAGCCATAAACCCCTAACCCTGAACCCCCTTAGCCCCTAAACCCTGAACCAGAACAGGCCGATTTGGGGATGAGGGTTCAGAGATTGTGGCTCAGGGTCGTGGAGCGCACTCCCTGCAGGCAGGTTTCCCCTCAAGGCCTCTAAACTTTTCATGAGAGCTTGTTGCGCGTTCTTGCTGCTGGGGTGGGGCTGGGCGTTGTTCAGAAAGTCAGGTTCGCCAGTCATCTGGATCTGCCCCCGAGTCAGCTGAACCTGACTTCGCAGCCCCCGCGCGACTTCAACGGCAGCCGCTAGATGGAAACTCCGGGTTTCGGGGGTATAGAGATTGATTGCCTCGGCAATCCGAAGCCTGAGTTTTGTACGTTGTCCTTAGAATCATCCCAGCAACAGGCCAAGGTTTTCCAGTTTTCGGGGCTGTTTGTCACACGCGCATTTAGAGTACGGACCCTGCTTTGCTCTTGGTGTTTTTTTCTCGGGGCGATGGGAACCCTCGGAGTGGCGGCAGCCAGCTAGTGTGACAAGAGACCCTATGGCTTCCCTCATAAATCAACCCCGAACCCTCTATATAGGCCCTAAACCCTAAACCCTAAACCCTAAACCCTAAACCCTAAACCCTAAACCCTAAACCCTAAACCCTAAACCCTAAACCCTAAACCCTAAACCCTAAACCCTAAACCCTACACCTAAACCCTAAACCCTAAACCCTAAACCCTAAACCCTAAACCCTAAACCCTAAACCCTAAACCCTAAACCCTAAACCCTAAACCCTAAACCCTAAACCCTAAACCCTAAACCCTAAACCCTAAACCCTAAACCCAAGCACATGCGCACCCAAGAGGGGACCACAACTTGGTGTCTACTGCAGATGGTCGCCTCTTCCCATGAAACATTCAGGCCCCAGTGTCGCTTGACGTTTATAGGGTTCATAGGCTCGGGCTTAGAGGGTTTAGGGTGTTAGGGGTTAGGGGTTTGGGGGGTTTAAGGTATTAAGCCCAGTGGACAAACGGGTTTAGGGTTGAGGTTTAAAGGGATATAGCTGTTCGGAAGCTGAAACTTGATGGTCTCGACCAATGGCTTGAGTTGTAGCCCTTGCAAACCCTGAGAGCCTGCTTCATGTTCTGCTCGTGTTCAGTTGTCTCTGTGTGTGCACCCCAACCATCGCAACGATCTCCCAAAAAGCCTATTCTTTTCCATCCATGAACGTTGCTTTCCACCCCCCAAAACCTCAACCCCTTCAACCGTAAAAACCCGAACGCCTTCGCGGCAAAACGTGGAAGATGCGGTCACCAAAAAGGCCTACGGCTGTCCCTCCACCTCCGCATTCCCTGCGACGCCTCCAACCACACTGATTTGGGACCTCCGCCGTGTGGGAGGCCGGGGTTTGTCTGGGAGGTGCTTGATAAGGGCTGTTGAGTGTGGACGGGGTTGAGGGGTCTCAGGGGTTTTGTGCTCTATGGCAGGATTTGTGTGTTTGGGATGATTGGGGAGAACCCAAGATGGAAGTGCTCTTGAAGACATTCCCTGCGCGTATAACACAGGGGTCGGAATAATTACTAGTAGTATTCCCTTATGGTCCCTTTCTTAATCTGTATACTTTTCATGATTCACCCCCCCCCCAAAAAAAAAAAAAAAACTCTTGTAATTACTAAGGCGCCCCCCCACATTGCACATCATGCCACACCATGCCCCGGCAGGCTCCTGAAGGCCTGGCAGAAGACGCCGACGCCCTCGGCCGCCGCGCGGCGCTGCGTGCGCCACGCGGACCTCCGGATGCCCACGCAAAGGGACGAAGACTTTAAACGATATGGTCCGGTTTAGGGTTTAGGGTTTAGGGTTTAGGGTTTAGGGCTTAGGGTTTAGGGTTTAGGGTTTAGGGTTACTTATGGTCCCTTTCGGGGTGCCCGAAATAAGAGGGGTGCCGGCTTATAACAAGGATCCCAGAAAGGAAATCGCCAAAGGCAGGGCTTCCGAAAAATAAGGCTGCCCTTGTTTTCGGGGGTCTAAGTGTACATAGGCCCTTAATATAAGGGGTGTATGGGGTCCCCTTTGAAGGGCCCATACTAAGGGTCCATGTAGCTTCCTTAAGAGGAGGGGGTGCCCCTATCATGAGGATTATTTTGTGGGGGAAATACGGGGTACGCACGAAAAAAGAAACCCACATGGGGAATTCTCGGGCGCCTGGAAACAGTCAATGTGTAGGGTCTTTCGAAGAAGTGGACTAGGGTTTATAGGGTTTAGGTTGGGAGGTTCCCGCTTATACTAACAGTCCTTAATGGGAATAAGAATCGGGGGTACTATAATCCTATTGAAGGACTGTTAGCATAAGGGGGAACATCCCAAGGTTTAGGGTTTAGGGGCATCCTTCTGAGTAGCGAAGACTCGGCAGATCTTTACGGACCTAGGATTGTGGATATGCCACCTTACTTCGACCCAGTAAACTGCAACCGAAGCCTACATGACCACTATTGCTCACTGATTTAGCAGGGTTTAGGGTTTTGGGTTGATGGTTTAAGGTTTAGGCCTCAGTCCGTGCTTAAAAGGGTTCAGGGTTCAGGGTTTAGGGTTTAGGGTTTAGGGTTCAGGGTTTATAGGGCTTAGGGATCCCGGAGCCAGGACTTCACAACGGGCGCGCTGATCTGGGCTAGCAAGGTCGAAAAAAAAAGCTCTGCGCTGCCCCCCCCGCCCCCCCCCTGGTCCCTGATTAGGGCTTAGAATTCAGGGTGTAGGGTTTAGGGTTTAGGGTAGGGGTTTAGGGTTTAGGGTTTCGACCCGCCCCTGATGCTTGCTTTTGAGATCACCAGCACCGATGCCGACAGACGGCGGGGCCAGCTGCATCTGCTGCTTCTGACTCAGCCTCAGTGTGATCCTCTAAAACCCAGGGGCCCAAGTCAACAAGGCCCAGAAGGACCCAAACCCCCTGTAGGCTGTGCAGAGGAAAGCCCTTCACTCAGTTCTTAGGTAACATACACAAACTAGGTTGGGGCCTTCAGGATACTTGCGAGTGCTTAATGCTAGTAAGGAATACGGGAATTAGGCAATTAGGCCGGCACCTTATCTCCCCTTCTATACCCTAGCCAAGTCCGTATAACCGATAACCCCAACCCTCAACCCTCAACCCTAACTTCCCTCAAAAGAATGCGAAACAAAGTGAAGTCGTAGATGCTGAAAGCCACGTCTTCTGCAGGATCCGGCTGACTCCCGGGGTCCGGGAGCCCTGATTGGGGTGTGGCAGCAAAGGGGGGTTTAGGGTTTAGGGTTTGCCTCTGGAAGGAGTATCGTGTAGTGTCGACTTGGTCCATCCTGCCGAGCAATGTGGACTCACAGTGTTCTTCGGTTTGCGGGTCTGCTGGTCTCTGGTGACTAGCGACTGGCGCGGCCTCAGTCCTGGCATGAAGCAGCTTCCAGTTCAAAAGGGTTTAGGGTTTAGGGTTTAGGAGGTTGTCGGAGTCTAGAATGCATCGTTGAATTTCAGAGGAATGAAGGCTTTCGGGCAGTGCCGGAGGATGCTGGTAGGTGCCGGGACACAGATGTTGGCTGTAGAGTGTGGGATAGAGGGCCGAACTTCTAATGACTTGTGGCATTGAGCGGTTTAGGGTTTGGGGTTGAGGTTTTACTGGTAGGGTTTAGAGGGTTTCGGGTTTAGGGAATCGCTGTTCCTGGAGGCCTGTTGCAAGAAGTGTCCTGGGGCCTTGCCGCGTTGGAGAGTGAGGGCGCTAAACCCTTAAACCTTAGATCCAAGATACAGCCTACTCCAGAACTACGCATCCTGCGCGCACTCCCGCCCACCCCCCCGGCCATCTTTTGCAAACGGACGTCCCATCCTCAGAGCCTCCAAAGCCTCCCCTCCTGAAATCCTCAAACACCGAAACCCTCGCTTCAGGCAACAGGCTTCGCCTCGAATGCGAGTTTAAGAGACTAAAGACCGAACCCTGGCATTTTGAACCCCTGAAATTCTGTACGAACTTTACGAAACCCTCGACCCTAAACCCTAAACCCTAATTGAAACCGCAACCTTAAACCCCATTCGAGACAAGTGGGCCAAGGCGCTCTGCCACGGCGAAGGCCTCTCTTCTTTCCGGTTTGCAGCTGCCGGGTCGGGGTTCGTCTTTCATGGGTTTCCCTACTACCCCCCTCTCTGCTTACCCCCCTGGGTTGCCCCCTAGGTTCCCCCCCTAAAGAACCTTGTTTAGACTCAATTAGCCTTAAATCCTTATAAAAAAAAGGGGGAACCGAGGGTGGTAGTCTAGAGGGGGGGGTAGTAGGGGAACCCATGATTCTTGGGCTGTTGACCTACTGTATGAACTTATAAGGGTCCAAGGGGATGGGTCGGGGTTGGGTGGGTGTAAGGTTTAAGGGTTTGGGGTCTTTGGGTGTGTGTGTGTGTGTGTGTGTTCGTTCAAGTATGTCCTTACTCCGCCTGAATCAGCCCTGTAAGTCCTCCCGGTACCTCATCCCGATCCCAGGCACACCACCAGCCCTTCTGCTGGGCAGCCCCCGAAAGAGGACGCCTTCCAGTGGCAGCCCTTTTCGCTCTTCAGCCAAAAGCAACCACGACGACGCCCAGGGTTGGGGAAAACATGTTGGGTTTAAGACGTTTAAGATTCATCTCGGGTAGAGAACTTCAAACAAGGCGAGCTTCGCTGTCATGCGATGTCCCTCAACAAACTCCGCCACTCCCCCTGCCCCTACACCCCCGTCAGGAGCCCCCTCGAAGTGGCATGCCACCCCCTCCCCCACCCAAGAGACGCCCGGAGCCCAGAGCATGCAGGGAAGGCAAAGGGTTTGCGACTTGAATGCCTGGGCGACGAAGCTGGCGTAGTGCTTTGCCCTCTTTACAAGGAGCAGTTGGGTTGCAGATTTCATGTGATTTGACATGTGGGCTAAACCGGCTAAACCCCAAACTTCAAACCCTAAACCCCAACCCCAAACCCCAAACCCCAAACCCCAAACCCCAAACCCCAAACCCTAAACCCTAAACCCCAACCCTAAACTTTAAACCCTCAGCCACACACAGCAAGGAAGCACAGAGGCCCCAAAATAGGGCCGAGATTGTCATCGTACCTCGGCAGCTCTGTCTCAGGGTGCCTAAAGTGCTTCAGTTGAAGATAGGGCCTCTCTGGTTGAGACCTGCCCAGCTGTAGGGTTTAGGGTTTAGGGTTTAGGGTTTAGGGCTTAGGGTTTAGGGTTTAGGGTGTAGGGTGTAGGGTATGACATTCCTGGAAGCCCTAGGCTCCAATGTGGTCCTGAGAATTGAAACCGCGAAGCCCTAAACCGTGCACGCCCCGCGGTTGTGTTCTACCCAGGCGCTCGGCTGCCTGTGGATTAAGGAGTCGAGGGTGCTGAGAGGAATATCAAGGGGCGGGTCTGGAATTTTGTTTTTTGCCTTTTTGGTCCCTAAGACCTCAAACTTTTTGGTCCCTAGGACCTCAAAACCCTTAAGCCCCAAACCCTACAGCACCGAAGAACTCTACGCCCTGAACCCTAAACCCTAAAACCCTAAGACCCTAAAACCCTAAAGCCCTAAAACCCTAAACCCTAAACTCTCGACCACGGCAGCAACTTTGGCTTCGACTCTCAGCCGTAAAGACCTCCTGCCCCACTGTCGCCGCCGACCCCGCCGCCATGTGCAAGTGGCCCGGGCCTTAGAATCCTGCACGTCCTCAACAGGCGATACATCCCAACCCCCCCCCCCGTCCTCTAATCATAAGAACAGTCACACAGCAAAACCAACAAGGACATGCATAGATATGAAAGTGCAATGTTCGAAGCCTGCCAAGCCTCCAACCACCCAAAAAACACAACCCCGAACATGCAAACCCCCCTCATTCCCCACCCCTAAACGCCACCAAGGCGGGCGGCACCCCAAAACACCTGAGCCCTAAACGGCCCCTAAACCCTAGCCCTAAACCCTAAACCCTAAAACCCCCTCAACCCCTAAACTGAACCTTTGCCAGACTTCAGCCTTCCCCTTCGCGCGAGTGTGAGAGTCGAAGCATGTCCCAGCATAGCACTTCCCTTACCACTCAAAGGGCCCATGGGTTCAGAGTTTAGGGTTTAGGGTTTAGAGTTTAGGGTTAGGGTTTAGGGTTCAGGGTTTAGGGTTTAGGGTTTAGGGTTCAGAGTTCAGGGTTTAGGGTTTATAGGGTTTATAGGGTTTATAATTAGGGTTTATAGGGTTTAGGGTTTAGGGTCAAGCAGGGTACTGCTCCTCTGTACATGTGCTGTGTGCTGAGAGCCACGGCTTTCATTCCACTCAATCCCGGATGTTTAGGGTTTATTCCCTGTGAACCAGCTGTAAGATTCTGTAAGATTGTCTTATCAGCTGAGAAGGAAACCTTTAAAAAAAAGCCTGCATTAAAAAATCTACCGCACATGTAATGTTAATTTTTGTTTGGCCCAGGGTACTCAGCAACTAGTGTATAGTATCTTTGGAGAACATTGAATCTTAGGGGTCTTAAGGGGGGAGGGCGTTGAGACACATTGAGACCCAAACCCGAAAACCCGAAAGACGCAGGTCCCGCCAGGCGGGTGGCAGGACAATCCGAAACCACTCATTGAAGCCTTAAACCCCCAAACACCTAAACCGAGAACCCTTAACTTAGTAGCTGAATGAGTAATTACACCTTAATCACACTTTTTCGGATATTATAATCCTCTATAGAACTGAAAGTGTAGACTTTTCTTTGGGCTTCTGAACTCAGCAACTAAGTTAAAGAATGCAGGTACTGCACCAGCTCGGGCCCATCCACGAACCTCTGCTGCCTGCACTGCGGCGCGCATTACTGCGCCCCGGCACATGTGCTGATCGAGGGCTGTTTTGGTTTTAGGGGTTCGGGTTTGGGGTTTAGGGTTTGGGGTTTAGGGTTTGGGGTTTAGGGTGCAGGGTTTACAGTTTAGGGATACAAGGGTTGTATAGGGTTTTATCGTGTAGGGTTTGATTCGGGCCAGAGTGTTCAAGTTATGGATTTGCGTTTAGTCAGGGGACTGTAGAGGGGCTTCAGGGGTCTTTGTGACGCTATGGTGCGCAACTGAAGATAGCGAGGGTTGTAGGTGAGCAGCTGCATGTGCCTAAGCCCACACTGTAACGAGACGGGAAACACTCCCTGGCTCTCCAAGCCCCCCCCCCCCCCCCCCAAACCTCCCGAAACCCCAAACCGCCCCAAGCAGTCAAGCAACCCTAATAACCCCAAACCCTAAACCCTAAACCCCAAACCCTAAACCCTACCCTAACCCTAAAAACCCCAAACCCTGGACCCTTCTCCTCCTCCAACAGTCCCCTGAAGAGGCGGCGCTTGCCTTCGAGGTGAAGCCGGGAAAATGGAGTCGCTCGTCAAGCGCCTTGGACCTTCTTCTGCTTCAAAGAGGATTTGTTTTTGGGTCCTTAAGGGATGGTTAGGGTTTAGGGTTTAGGGTTTAGGGTTTAGGGTTTAGGTTTAGGGTTTAGGGTTTAGGTTTAGGGTTTTAGGGTTTAGGGGAGGGAGGGGGGGGGGGGGGGTAGGTCCCTAGCAAAATTTAGGGAAACTCAAGGGAAGGGGAGCCTCAGGGAGTGGGTTTAGTGTTTAGGCTTCAGGGTTTCGGGTTGGGGGCTGAGGCTTTGGGGTAAGGGTTGCTGGGTGTGGGGTGTAGGTGTAAGTGTACAGGCTCTAGGGTTTAGGGTTTCTGGGTTTGGGGTCGTAGCGTTTAGTCAAAAGTGCGGAGGCATAGATCAACAATGGGCATGTGTCTGCAACTGTAGGATACTTGCGGCCGCTCGGCCTTTCATCCTGCGGCGGCTTCAACCGAGTCAAAATGACGGGTTTTCAGAGAAGGCAAAGCCATCCTTTCCCTTTACCCTTGCTTGGTAGAGCCTTTTTGCCATGCTTCTGGTTCAAAGTGGACCAACCCCGTCCTTTGTTATGATCTCTTACTTCTCCAACAGCTGACTTTAAGTTTTTTTGGGTTTCCTTATTTAGTAGGAAAAAAAGTTTAACCTTTTTTTCCCTTGGTTCTTGGAGAAGTAAGATGTGGGAAACAGGCTACCAAGCTTATAGGCTTCTTCCCTATTCAAGACAGTGAGGCTTGCGGGCCCCTATCAGGGTAGATGGACCCTGCAGCCTTGCGCATGCGTTCATCCCATCTACAGGTCCCGCCTCCCCCCCCCCCCCCCCCTTCAGCATCCTTGTGCGTATTATGAGTATCTACTTGTTTGTGCCTTACCAGGGGGTTCCCAGATAGCATCTTCGTAGTGCCCAAAATATAAAAAGGGGCTTCCTGGGTTGCAGGTTTAGGGTCCTAGTATATACCACAGAGGTGTATATGGATGCTGGGGTCTCTCCCCTTTGGGGTTCCTTGCCAGGTGCGCGGGCTGCGGAAGGAAGCCTGGCGCAGCTTTCCTTACAGAAGCAGCGTAGAGTTGAATGCTTGTGACGTTCGGGAAAATGGGTTTTTTTTTTGGGGCTTGAGGTCAGGGCGCTTGTTTAGGGTTTAGGGTTTAGGGTTTAGGGTTTTTCTGGATATGGAAGTTCTTGGCCTCTGAGACGACCTGGGCAAGTTTTTTACCATCATTGCATGGCATGTAAAGCCGGGCTTCTGCTCACCACACCTTCACGCTCCAGCAACGTCGCCGTGCTTTAAGGGGACTTCTTTGAGTTCAGGGTTTAGGGTTTAGGGTTTAGGGTTTAGGGTTTAGGGTTTAGGGTTTAGGGGCTGAGGGTGGTCCCTAAACCCTGAACCCAAACCCCTTCATGGCTCAAGACTTGTTGCTGCCCTGAGCTCAGGTCAAGAGCAGAACCGACCGCAACTCTTGGACCCCGGCAGAACATGTGGGTTATTTGTTATTATACATTTATCCAAGAATAAAAGCTATTTGTTTCTTCAGTTTTAACCCATATTTTTGATGGGTTCCATTACGTTTTTGATTAGGGTTGAGGCTTGAAGGTTTCCAATATGTTCGGCAAATAGAAGGCCCAAGGATTTGGGCTTTTTGGTGGGCGATGGGATCTTGTGTCGATCTTTGTAGAACTCGACATCATGATTGTTGTAAGTTGTAAATTGAGACAGTGGAGATTCGGACTTTCAGGGTGACGTGAGGGTTCGGACATCATCTGAAAGGCCAATCCCCCACCATGTTTGTGCTGCCCTAAACCTGTCTGCCTTTGAATGCACAAAGGGTCGAAACCATACTCTCGCACAAGGCGTCATCGATGGAAGCGTGCAGGTGGATTAGGAGATGCGAACAAAGGGATCTGTTCTTGCAGAAGACGTACATTCACGTATTATGCGCATGTGTAGCCAAATTGAAACAACTGGCTTTCCAGAAATCTTTGCCAGCTGGGCAGCGAAAAGACAAACCAAGTGCACATGGAACACAAGAGGTGCGCAATGTACACCTTGAACCTTACCTCTCAATGTCTCGGCCATTGGGTTGACCGGATATTCAGCTTGTCTGGGCGCCCTCTAAACCCGAAACCGGAAACCCTAAACCCTAAGCCCTAAACCCTAAACCCTAAGCCTAAACCCTAAATCCTAAACCCTAAACCATAAACCCTAAACCCTAAACCCTACCAGGACCGCGGTGTGCAACGCCCCGTGCAACGAGCGCGGAGGTCCACGCGGCTTGGCGTGGACGGAGTTTCCCCATGACCACTTTGCTGGTTTAGGGTTTAGGGTTTAGGGTTTAAACCAGGCACTTTCCTGCGACTTATTCGGGTAATTTCGGGTACTTTAAGCTTTGGGGGAATTCGGGCAATTTGGGCAAATGCAATAAG